GCGAGCTCTATCTCGCCCGACCTCGAGGACACGGGTTCTGTCTCGTTCGACGGGGACCCATACCACCGCCAACCACTCTAGGTCCAAGCATATGGGCCTGGGTCAAAACTATGACACCAGGGAAGAGGCTGGCATGCCTCGATGTAACTCGTGGCCATGATGGGCCAACCTGGGGATTCACATCAAGAACAGTGTCAGGTATGCCGGTGCTGTTCTGCCTAATCCTCGTACGGACGCTGATAGGTGCGTTAGTTCACCACGATGTCCACCGAGACAGAGTGGAACGCCATGACCGGTAGGTGACACCTGCACATCGTGTCAGTGACGAATAGGGCCATGACATGGAGCCGTCCCTGTTGACATCCATAGGATCGGCAAGACCTGCATGAAGGAGAAGAAGGACCCGGCAACCCTGGAAGCCTTCATCTCTCTCTCGTTCTTCTCCTTTTCCTCCTCTATAACCCGCGCTGTCCCTTCACCTATAAAAGGGGAAGCAGGGTGAAAGCTCTAGTTTAGTTTTGGTGTATTAATGAAACCCTAAGTGCTAACCTAGTTTATCAAAGTGATTATGAGATAGGTAGCACTACTCTAAGTGATCAAGCAAATAAAGATTATGACATGATGATGGTGATGGCATGGTGATGATTAAATGCTTGGACTTGGAAAAGAAGAAAGAAATACAAAAAGCTCAAGGCAAAGGTGAAATTGAAAGGAGCTTTTTGGTTTAGTGATCGAGACACTTAGAGAGTGTGATCACATTTAGAATCGATAGCCATACTATTAAGATGGGTGAAACTCGTATCGAAATGCGGTTATCAAAGTGCCACTAGATGCTCTAACTCATTACATATGCATTTAGGATCTAGTGGAAAGCTAACACCCTTGAAAATGTTTGTGAAAATATGCTAGCACATGTGCACAAGGTGATAGACTTGGTGGTTAGCACATTTGAGCAAGGGTGGAGAAGTTGGTGAAATGATGGAAGTGATAGTCACTGAGATACAGTGACCGGACGTTGGTCATGCAGTGATCGGACGCTGGGGTCTTGCATCCGGTCAGTGGCACGTAGTGAAGGCCGCCCTCGGTCTCTTGACCAGACGCAAATGACCAGACTCTGTCTGAACACTGTTCAGCGTCCGGTCATGCTGATGTGGCGGTGCACAGAGAAAAGGGAGACTGATTGGACGTTGGGCGAGTCCGGTCGGGCATGGCTGACGCGTCCGGTCACGAATGGAACCTTACTAGAAATGACCGGACTCTGGCTGGTCTGCGTCCGGTCGCTTATAATCAGACGCGTCCGGTCGTGACTGGAACCTTACTAGAAGTGACCGAATGCTAGGCAACTGTGCGTCCGATCCTACACTGTAGTGCGTCCGGTCATAACTTAAGTGTACTGATGACCGTTGAGATCGGACGATAAACATTTGAAGCAGGGGATACATGGCGAAAATCTAAGGACCGGACGCGGGGGTCCTGCGTCCGGTCAATTCGACCGGCGCGTCCGGTCGCCCCAATTTCTCAGTGAACAGAGAGCCAATAGCTCTATTCATGTGGGCTCTCTATTTAAGCCCCATGGCTAGATCAAGCTCACCCTCTTGGCCATTTACATTGACATAGCAACCTTGTGAGCTTAGCCAAAGCCCTCCCACTCATCTCCATCATTGATTCATCATCTTTGTGAGATTGGGAGAGAATCCAAGTGCATTGCTTGAGTGATTGCCTATAGAGACACTTGGTGTTCATGTTTCGCTGCCGGATTCGCTTGTTGCTCTTGGTGGTTGCCACCACCTAGACGGTTTGGTGCAGCGGAGGAGGATTGACACGGGTTGGTGATTGTTCGTGGCCATCTCCGGTGATTGTGAGGGTACTTGTGCCTTTCCCGGTGAAGCGCCGAAAGGTAACCCTAGTGGATTGCTCGTGTCATTGAGTTACCTCACTTGTAGGTAGGTTCTTGCGGTGTCCAATTGTGTGGATGAGGTTTGTGCAACACCTCTTAGCCGCCGAACCACCAAGTGTTGGTCGACACAACAGGGACGTAGCGTGTTGGCAAGAACGTGAACCTCGGGAGAAAATTGGTTACCTCTTGCCCTTTGGTATTCTCCCGATGATTGAGTTAGTATTCATCTTGTGATTGGTTTAATCCTCTACGTGGCGGTATAATCACCTTACTTACTCATTTATATTCCTGCAAACTAGTTGTAACAAGCTCTTTAGTGTAGTTAGAATTGAGAGCTTGCTTTGTAGCATAAGTTCATCTAGTGGAGCTCTTTAGAGTAGCTAGTGTGAGAGTTCTTAGTGAGTAGTGACTTAGTAAATTGTGTGTCTAGTGATCTTAGTAACTAGAATTGTTGGATAGGTGGCTTGCAACCCTTGTAGAGCTAGAGCAAGTTTGCTCTTCGCTATTTGTCATACTAATCAAATTGATCTAGTTGGTTTGTAGATTTTTAAATAGTCTATTCACCCCCTCTAGCCATATTAGGACCTTTCATAGGGCACCCCCTGAAAAAGGGAGATCTAAACACAAGAGCACGACATGAGCACGCGGCTGAGGGCAAGCGAGCTCTCAACACCCGTTCACTCCTTCCACTAGAGACTTGGGATCCTCTCCCTCACTCGCCTGTTTATAACCCATGCTGCAAACCAAGTGCCGGTAACATGAGCAACAGCAAACTGGACGTAGGGACGTTCCACCCAAACCAGTTAAACCCTTATGTCCTCCGAGCACACCATCTGAGCCAGACGTGCAAATACAAATTTACTCGTCAGTGGTCTAAAAACACCGACAGTTGACGTGCCAGGTAGGGGCTCGGATGGCTAGTCATGGCGTCAGCTAGGTCCTGGGTGCGCACGTGCGCTTTGGGAACCTGGACTTCATCGTTACGACAGAGGGAGAGTTGGCGCAGGTTCCCGCCGCTGTCCCAGGTGCGCACGCCCCCATCCCCTATGAACGACAAGTTCGTGGGGATGACCGAATATGTTGTAGAATCTTTCCATGACCTTCTGGCGAGAGAATCAGAGTCGCCCTCCGACTCTGACTCCAGTCGGGGGAGCCGGCACCCCTCGTGAGAATGTTTCATGGCAGGTACCCCTGAGGGATACATCGAAAGCATCCACGAGGGAGGGGCTACCCCAACAGACGACCTCGACGACGAGGTCGAGGGGGATGCAGGGGTCCCACCTCGCTTGCGGGTAGAGTAGCTGAGGGCGCGGCACCAAGAGCTCAAAGAAGCATGACTCCAGCTCGAGCAGGAACACGCGGAGCTCGACCGAGAGATCGAGCACCATGGAGACGGTGGGCATGCGCGTGCCGTAGCCCACGACATGAACCAGAGGATCATCGAGGATGACAAAGCCCTCCCACACTTCACCCGGGCAAGCAAGAACATCGCTGCCACGACGGCCTTACTCTGGGGGCTTCTAGAGCCCACGACACTCGAGGATCGTCGGGCCCATCATGAGATTCGCACGCTACTCGAGCGTGCGGCGGAGCAGCAGGCCGAGAGCTCGCTGTCCCGATGACGCGAGCTCGGCGCCAGCCAGCACGCGGCCACAGAGCGACATGACAGGGACGTGTCAGTCCACCAAGCGCAGCGAGGTGGCAAGCCGCACGCCGCGGCCCCGGTGCATGAGCGTCTCGGCCTCCACCGTAACGCGCGCAACACCCTCGATGCCCGCATGGCGCCAGTGACGAACAGGGCCACGACATGGAGCCATCTCTGTTGACATCTACAGGATCGGCGGGAACCGCATGAAGGAGAAGAAGGACCCGACAACCCTGGAAGCCTTCCTCTCTCTCTCGTTCTTCTCCTTTTCCTCCTCTGTAACCCACGCTTTTTCTTCGCCTATAAAAGGGGAAGAAGGGCGCCCCATGAAAAAGGGAGATCTGAACACAAGTGCATGACACAAGCACACGGCTGAGCGGCAAGCAAGCTCTCAGCACCCGTTCACTCCTTCCACCAGAGACTTGGGATCCTCTCCCTCTCTCGCCTGTTTGTAACCCCTACTGCAAACCAAGTGTCGGTAACACGAGCATCAGCGAACTGGACGTAGGGACGTTCTGCCCGAACCAATATAAACCCTTGTGTCCTCCGAGCACACCATCCGAGCCAAACGCGCAAATACAAATTTACTCATTGGTGGTCCGAAAACACCGACACCATGATTAGCCTTAAAGGTCTAGGGATCCCTGATCGATCTGCAGTTTATTAAGAGTTTGTAGAAGTATATGAGAATACAGCTATAGCTATAGGAAAGTTATTAAGCGATGCAAGCTGGCCTAGTTCGTGTCATTTTTAGCAACGTCAACAAAAAAAGGCTATGGCCGTGATCGACCTACTTGGGCTGACGATTACCTTGGTGATTGCATTGGAAGCACTGCTACAGAAATTAACTGTAGAGGTGGCTCTAGAGCCTCTGTAGGGGCGGCTACGCCAGTCGCCCCTCCCAGGGTGTTCCTACAGAGGGTGCCTCTGTAGGGGCGGTTTCCTGACCACTTCTGCAGTGCCCTTTATAGGGGTGGCTGGTGTTTTCAGCCGCCCCTATAGTGACCTCTGTAGGGGCGGCTGGTGTTTTCAGCCACCCCTACAGTGACCTCTGTAGGGGTGGCTGGTAATATCAGCCGCCCCTGTAGTGGACTTCTGTGTAAAGGCGGCTGTATCACCAGCCGCCCCTGCTGGGCGGTTCAATCAAGAACCGCCCCTACAGTGGATTTTCCAGCAAAAAAAGTAAATAATTCAAATTCAAATCTGACCATATATATATAATTCAAATTCGAATCTGACCGCCACAAATATACATATATACATCCACAAACACAAGACCATTATTTAGAACATCATCACAAGTCATAATTCACAAAAGTCCATCATTACAACATAGTCCATTATGAAGTCCATCATTATAACATAGACTGCATATGAACTTATGGATTCTTTTCAAATATGAACTTATGGATTCTTTTCAAATATGAACTTATGGATACAGTTTTCATAATCTGTGAGTCAAGTATCAATGTCAAAGCTTGGATTTGCAGGGTTACCTAAGTTCCTATTTACACACTAAAAATTCACTAACAGAACACTAGCAATATACTAGTAAAGATCTTTTACCCTTCCCCACAAACGCTATGATAACTGTTATTGTAGCTTACTTGAGCTGCATCTGCATATCCTCTGATCCTTGCAAGGACTTGTAGGCCAAGCTCTTGAGCCTTCTGCCCACTCACCAAAACTAATGCAGCAGCCCCATCACTGATCCATATAAAAGCAAATTAGATATGATCAATTGTAGCTACACAAGCGGATACTAGACAGTACAGAATGGACAGTACCAGTCAATGGAAAAAATAGCAAGTGCAAAGTGAGATCAAAGAATTTTGAAGACAACCAAGAAGAAATTATACACATAGACTGATTTTGCTTTGAATGGGCATAAGACATTACAAACACTTCTTTACTTTCTTATGTGATAATAAATCATTTACAAGAAGAAAAGTTACAATCTATTTAACAAATTAGAGCATACCAAGCCCCTGAAACATAATAGAAGTGCCAATTCATAAGAACAGACACAAGTCAAATATGGTATGCACAGGACAACAACAAAAATAACAAAATGCAAGCATAATGTAAAGAAAGAAGTTAACTATCATCATAGCTAATCACAAGAATTATAATACAACCAGATAAACTTAAAAGGACTTATACTAGAAGCATTTCCACCTGTAACGGTACCACCATTCTCCTTGAAACTTGGGTGAAGTTTCTTCAGTTTTGCTGGATCAAACTAAGAGCACAAGAAATTGAAGATCCTTATTATATTGTAAGTGTTTGTTGGATCTTTCGTTTAATATGTCGAAAGTTTGATCAATGCTGCTATGACATTTTCTTAGTAACATGTGGAGCTGCAGCTTCCAATATAATAAGAATTGAAGATCCTTTGTATCATTAGCCCATATACAGCATCCTATTTGACAAACGACAATTACTTCATATATACAAGATAAAAATGATAGGCAAGTAACAAGTGAAACAGCACGCTATAAATATATATAATTATCAATAAACAAGGATTGGTCAGTGTATTGAAGTTTAGCTCAGAACAGCCTACACAACAATAAAAGGGCACAGCTTCATCGTTTCATCTGAATTTTGATCTTAGTTATTATGCCTTGTGCTTTCTCTACAGTGCCTTTTTATCCTGAAGAGAAAACTCGACTCTGAATTGTCCCTTACTGAAGAGTTGAAAGAACATAGACCTGAACTAGCAACAATTATCAAGCACTTTGACTAAAAGATACAAGGGAACCAACTATAATACTAGGAAGAACTACACATGTCTAGATTTTAGGACACCTATACATATAACATACTGAATTATACATACTACAAAATAAAACACATCTCACAATCTACTTATCTGATCCATAATACAGGAGCAAATGTCAGCATTCCACTAATTCAAGATTCCTCACAAAATAGCGCAGAACTAGAACTAAATCATCATATGCTAATTATAAGTAACCACATGTAGCAGCAGTAAATCACGTAGCCCGGAAGATTGCTTCACTGTATGAGCAAACCAGTTTCATTCTGTTTAATGACACACAAACTCCTAATTTCACAACCACATCTGACGACGCTCCAAAACACGGAATTACACCAATACAACTAAATGAAAACGAGGCAGAAGCAAAGGGGGGAGAAAAACGGACCTGGTACCGCTCCTGGAGCATGTGGATGTTGTACTGTTTGTCAGGCCTGAGCTCCTGCACGAGCTGTGGATTCTGGAGGAAGGCGACGAGCGGGGCGGTGGCCTCCTCGAGCGACCTGAGCCTAGAGACGACCTCGGCGCGGCGCTTGACCATGTCCTCGGGGACGTCGTCGGTGCCATGGAGGGACTTGTGGATGTCCATGGCATAGTCGACCGTGTTGGTGCCACTGAGGAGGCGGATCTTGGCCTCCGGGAACTCGGGCTCCGAGTAGAGCTGTCGCTCCTGGAGGAACTCCAGCAGCGGGAACACCAGGTGCCGGTCCAGCTGCGCTGCCATCAGCGCCGTGAGGTCATGCTCCGCCATGGCTGGTGCTCTGAGCTCTCTCCTAGCTGCCTCCCGGAGGCGGCTAGGGTTAGGGTTCCTTTCGGGTTCGAGGGGGGCGGCGGCGTGGGGAGGAAGGAAGCGAGGAGGGGAAGTAGAGAAGGGTTGGGGTTGGGTTTTGGTGGTTTTGTGGTTCGACTGCCGATCGATGTCGTCCCACGTTTAAACGGACGGCCAGATGAGGACTCTTCCTTTGGACCTTTTTTTTGGTAGAAATTGGAGCTGGCTTGGTGGCTTGTTCCAGAAGTAGTTGGATTCAACTTATCTTTTTCTTTTTTATGCTTGTATCTGAATTTTTTGTTGTATATAAATTCATTTGTTTTTTTGATTTTTCGTTTCAATATATGGGATTTTTTTGAAGCATTTGTATTTGTATCCAATTTATTTTTGTTTTGATGAGTTCTATTTCTTTTTTTACTTTCATAATTTTAAATCCCTCGTTAGTTTTTTTTAGCAACTTTGTACATGTATATATATTCTATTTTCTTCTATTTTCTAATTCTAATTGGACATGCGCTTAGCCGAGGAGGGGGAGCTCTCGAACTCTTGAGGACGCATTGACGAGAAGGAGCGGGAGCTTGACCGGGAGCGGGACGAGATGGAGCCGGAGGAGACGGAGTGGGATGGCGGCGGGAGGAAGAGCCCGAGGAGGAGCGAGGCTGAGCGGTTGCCGCCGAGAAAGCCATCATCGTCCCCGGGCCAGCGCATGGCGGGCCAAGGCAAGCGTCAACGACGGCACCTGTGGTGTTGGGCTAGGGTTTTGAGCGGGTTGGGGGAAGGAAGAGATTGGGAGTCTATGGTTCCCTCCACAGTCCAGTTATTCAACCCACCCGTGTCTATGTGGAAAGAGCCCATGTCCATGTCACATGTAAAAAATAAATAATACAGTACAAAATTTTATAATTATTTTTTATAGATATATTTACATATACAATAACTAAAACAACTACAACAGTTTAAAATTGCAAAATTGAACCTTTAAAAATGGGAAAAAATTAAATTTTAAAAAATTAAAATCAAAACTACTAAAATAATTTTGAGACACCAAATGATCTTAAATGAAAATTTGATAAACATCAAAGTTGTAGAGGTCATGAAGATCTACAATTTTTATTTTGGTCATCTTATCATTTGACAAAATTTGAACCTTTTAAATTTGAAATTTTAAAAAATGATAAGTTCGAACCAAAATTTGAGACCCAAAATGATTTCAACATAAAAAGTGATGAATACCAAAGTTGTTCAACTCATTAATATCTACAACTTTTATTTTAGTCATCTTATCATTTGATAAAATTGGAACCTTTCAAATTTGAAATTTTGAAAAACAACAAGTTCGAACCAAAATTTGAGACCCAAATTGATTTCAACGTAAAAAGTGATGAATACCAAAGTTGTCCAACTCATGAATATCTACAACCTTTATTTTGGTCATTTCTTCATTTAACAAATTCTTAGCACACATTGTTCACTAATCTTACACATGGCCCATATAGTTTATAAAACCTTATGAGAGATGTATCACATTTGTGAACAATGTCATTACCACTTTGTCATATGAAGAAATGACCAATACAAAAGTTGTAAATCTTGATGAGTTATTCAACTTTGGTATTTATCACTTTTTCAGCTGAAATCATTTAGGTACCAAAATCTTGTCTGAAGTTGTATTTTTTTAAATTCAAATTTTAAATTGCTCAAACTTTTCATATGTATATATTGACAAAACCAACAAAATAAATTGATAGAGCGTGATTTTAGAAAAATTTAGGTAAAAATCATCAGATTTGAAGTTAGTATGAGGAAGAAAAACTAGTTACAAAGTTGACCCATAGATTAAAAAAAGAAATCACACTGTTCACTATAATCATGTAAGGATCATCTAGAACAGTGTGATTTCTCTTCTTAATCTGTGGATAAACTTTGTAACTAGTTGTTCTCCCTCATACTAACTCCAAATGAGATGGTTTTTTTTCCTAAAATTTTTTAAAATTTTGCTTCAGCATTTAAGTTTGATCAAACCTGGATGTGGCAATGTTTTACGCATTTTAAAATTTGAAATATAAAATTTGACAAGTTCAAATCAAATTTTAAAACCATAATGATTTTAGATGTAAAAGTGATGAATACAAAAGTTGTTCAACTCTTCAAGACCTACAACTTTTATTTTGGTTATCTTGTCATTTGACTAAATTTGAACCTTTCAAATTTGAAATTTTGAACAATGATAAGTTTGAACCAAAATTTGAGACCCAAAATGATTTCAACATAAAAAGTGATGAATATCAAAGTTGTTCAACTCATTAATATCTACAACTTTTATTTAAGTCATCTTATCATTTGATAAAATTTGAACCTTTCAAATTTGAAATTTTGAAAAACGACAAGTTCAAACCAAAATTTGAGACCCAAATTGATTTCAATGTAAAAAGTGATGAATACCAAAGTTGTGCAACTCATGAATATCTACAACCTTTATTTTGGTCATTTCTTCATTTAATAATTTTTTACCACACATTATTCACTAATCTTACACATTTCTCATATAGTTTATAAAACCTTATATGAGATGTGTCACATTTGTGAACAATGTCATTACCACTTTGTTATATGAAGAAATGATCAATACAAAAGTTGTAGATCTTGATGAGTTATTCAACTTTGGTATTTATCACTTTTTCAGCTGAAATCATTTAGGGTACCAAAATCTTGTCTGAAGTTACATTTTTTTTAAATTCAAATTTTAAATTGCTCAAACTTTTCATATGTATATATTGACAAAACCAACAAAATAAATTGATAAAGCATGGTTTTAGAAAATTTTAGGAAAAAAAATCATCAGATTTGGAGTTAGTATGAGGAAGAAAAACTAGTTACAAAGTTGACCCACAGATTAAAAAAAGAAATTACACTGTTCACTATGATAATGTATGGATCATCTAGAACAGTGTGATTTCTCTTTTTAATCTGTGGTTAAACTTTGTAACTGGTTGTTCTCCCTCATACTAACTCCAAATGTGATGATTTTTTTTCTAAAAATTTCTAAAATCTTGCTTCAGCATTTAAGTTTGATCAAATTTGGATGTGACAATGTTTTACACATTTTAAAATTTAAAATTTGACAAGTTCAAACCAAATTTTCAAACCCTAAATGATTTCATATGTAAAAGTGATGAATACAAAAGTTGTTCAACTCATCAAGATCTACAACTTTTATTTTGGTTATCTTATCATTTGACTAAATTTGAACCTTTCAAATTTGAAATTTTAAAAAATGGAAGTTCGAACTAAAATTTGAGACCCAAAATGATTTCAACATAAAAAGTGATGAATACCAAAGTTGTTCAACTCATTAATATCTACAACTTTTATTTTAGTCATCTTGTCATTTGACAAAATTTGAACATTTCAAATTTAAAATTTTAAAAAACGACAAATGGGCACTGCAGGGGCGGCTGGTGATTGAGTCGCCCCTACAGATCAGCCCCAACTGTAGGGGCGGCTGAAGTTACTAGCCGCCCCTACAGTGCCATCTGTAGGGGCAGCTGGGCTGCTGGGGCCCGAGGACGCCCACTGTAGGGGCGCCCCCAACTCTAGCCACCCCTACAGTAAAAATACCCCCATTCCTACAGTAAGAATCTGGCGTAGTGAAGTAAATTAAACAATAACAAGGTTGAGGTTTGATTCACAAGCCAATATCTGTTAATTTCATAGATGCGATGGTTCACACATGCATGCATGAACATCACACATATACAACGACACATGCATGCATGCCAGGGCGCTTCATACATGGATTCCATGCTTGGTAATAATGTCGTTGTACAAGCTTACGCTTACACTAGAGTACTTTGGTTTTTTTTTATGAAGAAAGATTTTATTAATTTTCTAGTGCATGACATCGAGGTGATACAATAAAAGTTTGAAAAATATGCTTTCACCCTCTGCCTAACAAAGAAGCACATGGCCTTTAACAAAAATAAGCCACCCACAGTCTATCCATATGCCTAGGAGAATATAACCTTGACCACCCCTGCCAAGTGTTGTGTGGCCTCCATAATAACCGAATCCTAGGCTTCCATGTATGAAGCCGGTGCACAACCAAGTAGATAACCTACAAAGAGAGTATTTTTTTCCTTTCAAAAACTAAATCATTCCTGCGTAGCCAAATAGACCAACAAGTGGATTACTGAAGTCATGTATTCCTAGACCTCCTTGATATTTTGGTTGACATATATAGTACACTCTACTTAGCGAGACAGTTTTTTCTTGCTCATCTTTTTGCCAATAAAATCTAGAGCGAAAGTAGTCTATTTTTTTTCAAAAATCCTCTATGATCCGTTTGGATGTAGATATTGGAGACTCTGGAATTGAATTGGTATCATTACCAAATCCGGCTAGTATTGGAAATGGACTAAATACCAAATATATTGTTTGGATGTAGATGAATTTGCTAGCTAGAATCAAGTGACACATCAAATACCATTTCATGTTTGGATGTACACCTCGCTGTCTTCTTCCCCAATCCCCACCGCTCGCACGACGGCCTCGAGCGCAGAGGTGGAGGCAGCCTTGGCCCCAGCCATGGGCACGAGCAGGTGGAGGCGGAGGTGGCCCCGGCCCCGGCCTCGGCTTTGAGCACACAGGGGGAGGCGGAGGCGGCCCTAGACCCGGCCCCGGCTGCGATGAGCTCGGGCGCGAAGGCGGCCCCGACCTCGGCCGCGACGAGCTCGGGCGCGGAGGCGAAGGTGGCCACGGCCCTGGGCATGGCCCCGACGGGCGTGGTGGTGGTGTGCCGCGGCGCTGGGTGTGGGGCAACCGGCCATGGGGAATAGAAACGGGGCTCGCGCCGCCGGCCTTGGGGAAGAAGGGGAGGTGCGCCGCCGGCCATGGGGAAGAAGAAGGGGTGGTGCTGGCACCGCCGGCCATGGGGAAGAAGGGGAGGTGCGCCGCCGGCCATGGATGGAGAGCAGCAATGAGCT